TATTATTATTAGGCACCTGAATCTTGGCTTGCATTCTAAGGGGAACCATAGTGTGTGCATTGGGGGAGGTATCTTGTTCTGTTCTTTAGAAATGCTTTAATTATTTTAATTTCTTTGTGTTTTTGAAGTTTACAGTACCCTCTGTAGTCACAATGTTGTGCTTTCCCAACTAGCACACAGCTATGCAGTCCATAGAGTTTGAAGCCAGGAAGGGGGGATCTGAGGGCTAGAGTGACCCTTTTTCTTGATGTGGGACACTTGTCCCCCATGGAGATGAATTTTACAGACTCTTCCTTCATGGCACTCTTGGTGGATAGTGTGGCTATGGGCTTACCTATGGGCCTTAGCAACTGTGGCGCAGATAGAATGTGTGCAACACCAATCGCTAAACATTTTGCTTGATGTCAGTGTGAAAGGGCTATTCAAATCCATGTGAAGCACCATACATTTGTTAATGTTAAATAAAACTTTAGTAATGAATTAGATATAAACAAATATTGTTAGTTTTATGCCAGCTGATTTAATAAATGAATTTTCTAAACTTCTTGATGGGATTTGATTAAAAAAACTAATGATGAAAATAGGTCTGGGTGGCTAAAGGCTTTTCTGTTCTGGTTTAGATACTGGCCAAAACCCTGTTGTACAGTTACACAAAACGCATTACTTTTGGATGCAAATTGCCATAAGTTAAGAAATCTTAGCTGTTGCATGTCACGTCATGCAACTTGGCATGCAACAGATAACACCTATGAAGATTTCTTAATCTATTGCAATTTACTTCCACAAGACACTCCTTTTGTGTACTTGTGCAACAGGATTTCAGCCACAATTTAGTGTGACATGCTTAAATTACAGCCTATACTTAATGCATAAAGCCTACTGAACTCTATGAGACTGATTTAAAAATCAACATGCATAGAATGGGCACAACGTCATAGGATAGCAGCAGACCAGAATCTTTGGCATCGTCCGTCCTCCATCTCTAAAAATGTTAAGGAGGGATCCAATATTGCAAAATAGTGTGTGGGCAGACATGCAGAATCTTTTCCCTGGTTGCCACTCAACCACCCACAGCCCTTTCCTTTAACTACTTTCATTCAGCAAATGGTGCACACGTGTTTTGCATCATGGGAAAGCACTGCAATGTGTTAAGAACAACTCTGCCTCTTACTTTGCAGGGGCATGAAATAGGCCATTGGTGATTAAGGACAGCAGAGCAGATTTTACTGCTCTCTGGTGCTCTCAGATGGTAGCGCTGACTTGCTTCAACTGTGCTTTAGACCAAAACAGGAAAAGGATCTTGTTTAACATCTAGAAATTGACATTGTAGAGCTAGAAAATATGCATTGATCCAACAGACTGGAACTATTTCCCTGTAAAGTTATGATTTTAGGAGCTGTGTAGCTTATTCACAAACAGCAAATAAGAAGAAATATAGCAGAAATATAGAAAATTAATGCATGCTGTGGAGAAGGTAGGTAAGCAGAACCTTTTCCTCCTCACCTACTATTAGGATCAGAGCCATCCAGTAAAACTAAGTGACAGGAGATTTTGGACAGAGTTAGGATAAATGAAGTATTACTTTACACAGCACGAATTCACCACTTCAATATGTAATGATGGAATAGCTATCCACTTGGATGGTTTATAAAGGAAGATTGGAACAATTTGTGGAGCTATTAGCAGTTACTAGTTGTTTGGGGTACATATTCACACCAGCACTAGAGGCAGGATGCTGGGGAGCATGAGTGTGTTGTTGCCATGACCTGATTGTGGGTTTCTTCCCTTAGGCATCTGCTTAGCTGCTAAGTCATCAGAAAGCTGGGCTAGATAAGCCTACAGGTCTGATCCAGCTGGGTTCTTCTTGTTTTCTTGTGAGTTTAAAATAAGACACAGCTATATCAAATAAAGTATCACCACAAACGCACACATATTAAGCAAGTATTGCAAACACAAACTTTACAAAAGAAAAAAATTAAAACGACAACAGTGATGTAACTGTTTATCACAGTAAATAATAAAGACAAAGGACTCTCCCAGTCATCCATAAAAGTATGCCTGTCTGCAATTATAGCATACCAACCTCAAGGCTCTGTAGCTTCTATTTTTTTTTCCAGAAATCTAGTCCTCAAAAGGACTGAAAGGACTGAAAAATGTTTACCCAGACATC